GTTTAATAAAGGTTTTTTATTCCATTAATAAGATTTCAGTTACTGGAAGAAAACACTTCCAATATTTGTATAGTAGTGAAAACATTGTTTTGATCCAGGGGGCAATATAAAGGAAGGAAAGAAGAGAAGAGGAAACAGAAAGAAATGAGAAAGGAATGGAGAACATGTCTTAAAATTAGGTTTGAATTGCATCACCCTTGAGGATCCAGTTAAGTGTACCTAAGAAACTGAAAAGGGGTTTGTATCCTGACTGGAAAAACAATACAGTGAATGAAAAAAATGGAAGGCAGGTAGAGTGTGGTATGATCTATAAGAAATTTTAACTTTCGCTCCTAATAAATACTCCATCCATTGATAGCATTTTATTAACCTAATTCTCCGGTATAGCTTCTAAGACCTAATATTCATATGTAGATTATATAAATCATGTTTTTAAAGGACTTTATTCTAGAAAAAAATGTTCAAATTTAAATGAAGAAAATTTGATGTGGAAGTTATTTGAATAGAGAATTTAAGTTTATATGGAGAAAATTTTTCCAGTTATGCCTTCTGAATTGCAATGCTCTCTTTCATCTCTATGCACATGCAAATTAATGTAATGCCTACTAAGTGCAGGGCATTCAACACTTTCAAAGAAATCAAAGTGTGATTGCTATCCATATATAGTAGGTAAAGATCTGTTTCAAACCTACTGGCAGGAGCTGGGAAACAGACCCTCCATTATCATCTGATGGAGTGAAACAAAGCTCCTTGGTATTAAAAGCAAAGTGTGAGGCTTATTGTGCCTCAGGTTTCAGACCATAGAAAACCTTGGACTTGGAAATCAGCTACATCTCGGTTTAATGTTAGCATTTCATTTCATGTACTAGCTATGTAATTTTGGGCAAGTTACACAGCTTCTCTTAACCTTTGTTTTGCCATCTGTAAAACAGAGTTAATAATACTTAGCCACAAAGGTTCATTAGCATTAGATGAGGTGATGTAGGTGAAAGTTCTGCTGCAGTCCCTGACACGGTAGACAATTGAGAAACGTGTGGGATAGTGAGAATGACTTTGCAGTGGTTTGCTGCACTGCAAGTAGCTTTTCTTGTTGAAATGAAGCGTGTTCTATATGAGAAGAATGTTTTCTCAGAAGATAAGATATTATTTAACCTGCCACTTTTGTCATTGGCAAAGGTTAAGCTTACAGAATGTACAGAAATTTTTGATTCATTGCAGGTATCGCATGTCTTCAAGGCCATTCCCATACGAATTGAAACTAGAATTGCAGAGTTGAATGAAATTTCGCTTCTGGTTTATTTTAGTCCTCCACATAGACCCAGTATTTAGTTCAAACATCAGAGAAGACTTTTGGATGTACCCATATGATAAACCATTGTTTCAGGTTTTTATTTGAATTTTTTAATATCCCATTGACTAAACTTAAATAGCTACTGATTTTTTTTCCACTTGATCTCTCACTTTTCATGATCATCACAATAGCTTTATCCATAGAAATACACAAAACAGTATATTACTCTGATTCAAAGTTGCTAGAAAATATTTGTTCCTTTCCCCAGCTAGAATAAGAAAAGTTTCTGTGCAAATGTAGCCTATGTATGCATATGTGTCTCTGTGAATTGAAATGTAAGATTATATAGTGTTAGCATTTTCTTTTCCTGGCATTTATGTGACACACAACTTAGATAGGTACAGAAAACCGACGTCATGCATCTGAATCTACCCTAGTTAGGAAAGTGAAAGGAAATCACCTCCTCGAACTTGATTATGCAGAATACGAAAAATCCCTTCAAGATCCCATTTTGTTCATGGTTTCCTGGCCAACATTTAATACTATTTTCAAATGGAATTATTAAGGCTTAAAAATATGTAATTTAAGGGAAGCAGAAAGCACTTGGTCTGTTGTCCCCCAAATGCATTAAAAATATCCCCTTTGTAAGGCATGTTGGAGGAGTGTGCAAATTACAAGGCTAGTGAGAGCCATAGTGAAAAATACTGTGCTGTATCTTCATGTGATGTTTAAGGCAAATACTGGAGGTAACTACTACCCACATTTCTTTCAGAATCATTTCTGAAGATCAACTAAAATTGCTGTTAACTATAAGAGACTCAATCTGTCAAAATGTATTAAAGTGACATACCGTTAATGCTAGTTCAACCTAAAAAAAATCATTCTGTAATGAAATGCTTTATATAAACTCAGGAAATTCACAGTTCTCTACTAAATTAGCCAGTATTTGAGGCCTGTGATGGTGTGGAATAGAAATGATAATTTGACTCCCTGCAGTAGCTTGGTAATGGCCCCGTAATACTTCTCCATGGTTGTGTTTGCTTCTGCGAATATGTCTTAGGGACCCAGAAATGACTTTTCTCCAAAGTGGGAAAGGGATTTGGAAGAAGCAGGCAAAGGCAGAAAGAAGGGACATTTATTTTTCTTGTCTACCTCCTAACACTTCCCCCTACCTCACAGAAACACAGACATCGACATACACACATACACATGTACACTTTGAGCTGAGGCTTTCCTAGAAAGAACATTTTTAAAGTGACTTTTTTTTTTTTTCAAAATGAAAGCAGCAAACCCTGAATCCAGTGCCCCTACTACCCTCATGGTCAGGATACTTAGAAATTGAAGTCCAAGGTGTGGCTCAGGAAAGAACTGGCAAGATGGGCCTTGTGTCAGGTGATGGAAGGGAGTGAGAAGATGGACTTGCCACACATTGAGCCTCCCTGAGCCTGCAGTACCCAAGGCGACACTGATCTGCAGTGTGGATTAGTGGCTGCTCTTGTGGCTTCTTCTCCTGAGATGCACCCACAAGACCCTCATCCCGGCCTGTCTGTGGTCCAAGATCTCTCTGGATCAGTAAACACATTTTATTGGTACTCTAAAGGCTCCCAGACCGATGCCTTTATGGCTACATTTTGCCCCTAGAGGAACATAGTGCTGGTGTGACACAGATTGAGCCAGATTAGGCAAGCCAAAGGTCCAGCGCCCATGCCAGAAACAGATGGTTCTTACTTCTGTATTTGGTTCTGCATTGGTTAGTGGTTGTCATGCTCAGTGGATGCTCCTTGTTCCTGAGCTCAGCTTCTTTCTTGGATTTGGTATGCCCATAACCCATCCATGAGCTTCGAGTCTTTAGTTCAGAGGAAAAGACTAGATTAAATTGCCATCATACAAATGAGGGCCAGAACCAGATGAAAAATATCCGCAATACTTTATATCCTCCTAAAACTTGATAATGAAGCACAGTTAGACTTTACAAAGGTCAAATTTGGGGGAAAATAGAAGCTGGCGTGCTCTCCTAATGATTTATTATTTGATCAAATTCATAGCCTTTGTCTGATCAAATCATTAGAACCTTGTTCAGAGGCATTTATCATTGAGGAGCTCTTAAATTTGAAGCAAGTGATGGAAAGTACTTTCTCTTTACCCCACATGAAAATCAGAAATAAAAGGGAATCTTTTTCAGGAGCAGAAACTTCATGACCCAAGGGTCATAATGTCACAGTTCTCAAATCAAAGATGGCTCTACGGGCAGGCAGACGGGATGATCATGCAGAATATGCCATTTGAAGAGTGCTTTAAAACCTGGAATAGCTTTTCACCACCCAACTTGACTCCTTCCTGACTTGAAATCCCCTTCATTAGGAGGGAACTTAGTCTCTACAAGTCTCTACTGCGTGGGTGAACTTTCTGACCTTCCTTTTATGTACAGATCAGTTTATCAGATTATCTAGCTAACATTTGTGGCTCTGATATGATAAAATGTAGTTAAATTTCATTGAAGAAAGAGAATACATGTGAAATTTATATCCTCGTTATCATTTTTATCCCCTTACAATTGTGCTCAAGTATTCCTATTATCTGACCCTAATTTTTATTTCCGATGTATTTTCTACTCTTCCTTCATGTTCCATTCATTGGCCTTCTAACTATTCCCCTTGTAAACCTTACATTTTCCCACACCTGTGACTTTGTTCATTCTTTTCCCGAAGCCCTCACAAATGTCACATTCTTGATAATTTGTCCATTGGTAGAAGAAATCCCCTGAGACAGCTGTACACAGTAAATATTTTAGCTCCAATGAGCAGTTATGAGCCATTGAGTGGTTCTTGAATTATAATGTGCCTAAGAATTACCTGGAGTGCTTGCCAATGATGGAGATTTTGTAGTCCCACCTCAAAGCTTCTGAGTTAGTAGTTCTAGAAGAATGCAGAGTATGCATTGTTAATAAGTCCAATTCAGGTGATTCCAGGACCACTTTAAGAAAAACTGCTCTAAAAACATCTTTCATTTGCTTTTTAAATTTCTGGCAAAAGACTTATAAGAAAACATTTTTTTCAAAACAAAAATTTCATTTTGTCATTAATTTCTGGAAATTTCATTCCAGAAACATTAGAATGCAGACGTTTTTATCCTCTACCTTCCTCGCTGGGTTGAAAGTATTTAGAGGGAAGGTAGCTTAATGTGAGTTAATAAAATTGCTATTAATCACTTTTTGAGAAAATGTAAGAATCCCAAGAACATGCTGTAATTCGCATCACTTTTGTATTGCTTCTGCCACCTCTGTAGTTAAAGAGTAATAAAACAACTGTTTATGAAAAGGGCAGGTTTAAGATGAAAATAATTCTTTTGCAAAACTCAGGAAACATTATCAGAGCCTGTGGACTGTGCTCTTCCAACTGGAGAATCCTGTATTTGTAATAAATTCCTTTTGCTCTGGATGAGTTCTGCATTTTCAATGAGGTTAACTTGGCAACATTCTAGTTGATTTTAATAAAAATAGCTGCTTTGAGGACAGGGAGCTGAGGTTGCCAAATTTACAGCTGCCTTGCACAATTACTCTTACACCTCCTTCAGGGCTACTTAGAACCAGTAAGCAAATTAAGTGTATCGATTGCAATTTTGTTGGACTAACCCTGCTTTTTTTTTCTTAAGGAATAAACTTGATTCCTTTTAGTATGTGTCTGTTCAGAGTGATCTCTTTTCTTTTCAGCCATAACACAAAGACAACATCATGGCTGGATCCACGACTTGCGAAAAAGGCTAAACCTCCAGAAGAGTGCAAAGAAAATGGTAGGTTATTAAGTTTTTATGGTGTTTCAGCAATGCACTTTGAGAATGTTTGTGTTTCTTAAAAGAGCGTCTTACTTAAAGAAGCAATAATCTAGTTGAAACAATTTTGAAGATGTAATATTTAATGCTCAGACAGGAGAGAGAATTAACTCGGCATTTCAGCAGGGCCATGTGGTTTTGCTTTTTCTCTCTGAGGAGAATGTGCTGAATATCACATCTCTGTCATCTCTGTTGGTTCTTTTTGACTCCTGGCCTGACTTACCACCACCTACTAAGGACTTTTTGCTTGCAAAATGTCTCTCTGAGGACTCTGATCTTTTAATTAGAATCAGATATGATGCATAAGAGAAACAGAATTGTGGAACTATAACATTTGTTTTCAAAGGCGTAGCATTCTGCCAGTTATTAA